TACTCAGATTAAAAAGTCTTATCATGTGGATTCAAAGATCTTGGTAGTATTTATTTATAAACATCATCATGCCAAAAAATATATATTAAAATCATTAATTTTACCCAACTTTATGAATGAACAGAATATACAAACAGCAAAAATTAGTAGATTTGTGTCCATAATGTCGACACACATATGAAACGATTCATTGTGTTTCCTAATAGGACTTATTTTTTTACCCTTTATATATCAATAATAAAATTGGCACAATAATATCCAAATTTAGAGTATTAAAGCGTGGCGTAAGGGATTGTAAAACTTAAATAACAAAAAATTACAATCAGTATATTGTATTAAAAATTATGATTCAGATGATTTTTTTTAAATCCTAACAAATTGAACACGAAAGAAATTTGTAATACCTACTAATAGTAATTGAAATTTTCTTTCAATATTTTTTTCTAATTCATATTAGTATATTAAATACATTTTAAATTTCAAAGAGTTTGGGAACATTAATATGTTAGCATTTTGTTATATTCGAAAAATATCCAAGTATACTTACCTACTTAATTTAACTAATTAGTAACTATTTACAAATATTTAATTTTGCATACATTTTTAATTGTGAAACTTGTAACCATTAACAATGTATTTAAAGGACTATTATCTATAGTAATTAAATTAAAATATTTCATTAACTTATCATTCAAATTACACAATATTTGCCTCAGTAGTCACGTATACTGTTCATTTTAATATTAGGGGGACTCACATACATATAGTTATCATCAGATAACAAAAAAATTTTGGTTGGTTTTCAAAGATGACATACACAGAAAAAATATTTATTTTTAATATAAATACTCGTTGAAATTTTCATAGCAATGACATGCTGGACAGCAAGAACATAGTGTAAAGAAATCAAATCACTATCAACTTAACCATTGATTCAATTAATAATTTAACTACATAATACATGATTAATTTATAAAACTTAAATAAAAATTATTATTATACAGTTTTATAGATGCCCTTCCTCGTGATCCTTTTTTTAGCACATTACCTTATTATTAGTAATATTTTAAATACAGATAGTAAATATATTTATATACCCAAGTTAATTTCAAAAAGAAAAAACTACCTAGTATAATGTAATTAAAGGCACTGAGTGATCGACGACATACATTTATCAACTAAACTTATTCATACCTACATTAATTAAGTAATTGGGTGTTTACGAAATGTGACAATATAAATTTACCATATTATTACTGTTATCCCTTGGTCCTTTGCGGTCTCTGTTGGGCCCGCCATATGGTTGAAAGCGATTACCTCGTCCACCACGGCCACCGCCATGAAATTCTTCTTTGGGTTTATGATTGGCATTAGGACCATGATGTACGTTCGGTCCGTTCACTGATGTATCGTTGATCTTTTCGTCTTTTATCTGTGCCATGGTAAAATCAACTAAATAATGTATATATTAAATTTACTATAAACAATACAATAATTTAGGATTCTGGTGACGAACGACAGCAACGCAAAAACGATGAGAAATGAGAATGCTAAAGAACAACGAGACGGGCAAGGGGTCGAGAAAATGGCCGATCTCAAATCATGGTAAAGCATAAACACATGGACGGAGGCGGTGGAGGTGCTTAGTATTACGGGGTTACGGTGTTCGCGGTGTTTCGTTCTACATTCGTGAGTGGGGAGATGACGCCGAACCGACAACAGCCTTGCCAACTTATACGATCTAGTTCGTTGTACCTACTTATGTTTGTTGGAATATTATAGAACAATCAACATAGTTAATTTTCCTAAATTCATACCCATTTACAGAAAAATTATTCGAAAAAATAAAATATTAATATTCACTAACTCTGTAGTTATATTTGACTTAAATATATTATCATTTGGAGGTTCAACCTCAATTTCGTCTTAAATAAATAAAATGTTTTCTCAATAATTCAATTAGAATTTAAATAAATATTCACAAGAATATTCAATCATTCACATTTTCAATTACAGAATCACTCGCATATTTTCACGATTTTTCTATTGATAGAAAACAAATGTAAACGGTTTAATGAAGAAATTGGATAATTAAGTTGTAGTCTTGTAGACCAGTGTCCACTATCCAGTAGTCACTAAATATTTAGGATAATATTTTACAATATTTTGATCCTTATTTCTACGAATTGTTAATTTGTCAACTTTATCTGGTCACACTGTAGTTAGATTCTAGAATTTTCCATGGGTTAACTTTAATTTTTTCTGAAAATCAAGTAGGTAAAACCAAGTATGATCTTCCACCGACCACGATTTTGATTATTCGAAAATCATTGTACGTAATAGTACGTTCCGAAAATCTTGTTAGTAGTGGGAACTGGAGTTTAATATTTCAATTTTTTGTTATAACAATTCTTATTAAAAACTTTTCTAAATTAAAGTGTATTTTTTGTTTTGTTTTTTTCTATTTATTAATTTGTATTGTAAGAACTATTACTTTTCTTAACTACCTCAAAAGGGCATTTTAATAGTACTTAATTTGTATTTGATATTATTTAAAGTTTGATATCTATATTATTATTAAAAATTTTAGATGGCTAAATGGGGAGAAGGAGATCCACGTTGGATTGTTGAAGAACGCCCAGATGGTACTAATGTTAACAATTGGCATTGGTAAATATTTATTTAAACTAATTTCATGATAAAGATTTACATAGGTACCTAGGTAATATTAGATGAAATTGAATATTACTTAGGTACCTAGGTAATATTAAATGAAATTGAATAGGCAATTTACAATATTTAATCTACTTTATTCTTGTAAGTATGTTTAATAGTATTGTGTTGTTATATTCAAATAATTTAAGTGAATTAAGAGAAAAAAGGCCTAACCAAAAACTTATCTGGGGCTCTAGTAAAATAATATGTAAAAAATGTAAAAAAAAATTTTTGTTAATTAATATTTATTACAAAATTATAACCTGTATGTGGATTGCAAGATGTCATTTTCATTGAACTAGGTAAATTATTAGCTATATAAGGATTTTAAATTTTTTCCTTTTTGTGCTTTGATTTATATTCAATGTCTATTTCTTAGTTTCTAAATTGGCTTATATATGTCTGTTTGCTTTCAAAAATCTATTATTTTATTACTTCTATTTGTGATCCCAAGATTTTATGCAATTGATCTGCTATCTTGATTTTTATTGTGTTTTATATGGATAACATTCAGTTAAGTAGGTAGTTTGTTTTATTAGTGTATCTTACATAATGATTAGAAGTCCAAATATTATCATTCTGTCTCTATTTTTTTTTTTTTTTAATGGTAAGATTTGGGTTCTTTGTTTTATGAAAAAATTCTAAAAAAATTATTTGACTTTATCTTTAGCAAAAAAGCTCAACATTTTTTCATTCCAGAAATAGAACTATATAAACCAAAACTATGTTTGTCACACATTTGGACTTAATGCTATAAAATACTAAAAACTTCTGTGTGACATATTTTGAGCATATGCAGTAATGGTTTTATATTTTTTTTATTTTAATTAATTATCTAATTTATAACATTGTGGTATTAGAATAACAATTTTATACTTGTTGTAGTACCTACCATTGAAATAATTTTAAAATTAGCAATTAACTAGAATTTGAAAACAACAAATGAACATGTATTTATTATATTATACAAACACAATAAATGTTTACATTATAATACACCAAATTTGATTAAACAGTCTTTAAAAGTAGCTAATAAAATAATCACTTTTATCAGGAATGGTGAGTGTACTGAGTTTCAATTTTGAGTTCTATAGCCAGAAAATTGCATTCTAAAAATTATTTTTTAGTGGATTAATGGTGTACCTATTTGGTTTTAAATATAATATCTTGAAAAAGTATTTAATTTATAAAACTTTTGGTACTTTTATTTTATTAAGAAAAATCTGTTTGTGAAAGTCTGCAATCATAATTTTGTGTTATCTAATTTAGAAAAGGTTTGTTGTTGCTAATATTAAGGATTGTAATATGTTTTTAGTTAATGAAAAATTCTACTACTTAACTATACCACTAGATGGAAGTAACTTACACTTTTATTTAAAATTTGTTCAGATTATCTTGTCAAATTTGTTTATGCAAAAAGTATAAAACATTAAATTATAATAATTGTGTGTGAAAATTAAGAATATATAAAAGTCTGTCCATCGACATTGTGAGTAAGAAAATTGTTGTTTGATTTTCTGTGTAGTTTTTCTAATAATGGAAAAAAAAACCAGGATTAAACATAGGTAATACCGTGTTTAGGTTTTTAGTAAAAACTAGTGTAGAGAGACCTTTAGTTTTTAAAAAATATGTATATTGAACTTTTATAAACTAAGTCAAATTTTGAAAATATTTTAAACTTTTTAAGACCAAAATTATGAAAATTACAGCATTTCAAAATATATCTTACCAAACTTTACTCCAAATATTTTTTCATTGGTTTTTGCAATGGTTTATTTTTGTATACTGATATAAATTAAATACCTCTATTCATCCTATCTTTTCAACTTTCCACCTACAACAGTGGCTGTAACTGTCCCCAGGAATAGCTCTTTTTTTTCACTTAAAATTATATGTTTTGCTAAACTTATATATTTTTTTTTTTTATGGGATTCATTAAAATATTTTAAACGTATAAATAAATATCACATTTATTAATTTATAGCAGGGCTTTTTTTTCTTAGTATGTTTATAGTTTCTTTTATTTTTTCCTCCCATCAATTTAGGTGAGTAAGTACCTACAGTCATACAACTGTATTTTATAAATATTAGGTACATTAATTTACCTATGAAAAATATTTATTTTAAATATCTTTCTACCCACTATTCAATGAATAAATCCTGGAATAAAAATTCATTAAAGACAAAATGCAAAGTAAAAAAATCCCCAATACAACAATATATATATATATCAATAAATTGACTATGTGTACTAATTTTATTGTACTTCTATAATATGTTTTAATCAGTTTTAGTGTTTGGTGTTTTAGTACATATATTATATGAACAAGAAACAACTTTCCAACCTAAATTTACCAGAGTCTGATAAATTGACTGTTTTTAGTGGTAAAGTAGGCCTAAGTACTTATTATCAATAGTTGATTTATCAAAAAACATATATTGGGATTTTTTTATCTTTTGATTATGATATAATTTAGCTACTTTTTCTATATTCTTTTTTAACTATTTCTAGTATTGTTTCGTAATTTGAAAAATTATGTGTGGATGTTATTGTTATAATTTATGTTTCATTTTCACATAGGTATCTAAAATGTATTACATTTCTCAAATTTGTATATGTGCCATATTATTTATGCAAATTTATAATCTATATATATCCTAAAAATACCTTAGGATTAAATGGTTAAAAATTATTTTGCTTGTGTTATAGGACTGAGAAAAATGCCTGTCAATGGTCAAAAGACAAGCTTAATTCTTTATTAGTTGGTATGAAATTAGAAAATGATGTAGCCAAATGTGAAATATTAAAGATAGAAAGTTGTGAAGGTGAAGCTGTTGCAAATAATAGAAAAGGCAAACTAATATTCTTTTATGAATGGAATTTAACATTAAATTGGAAAGGATATTTATCTGGTGCCACTAAAGAGATAGAAGGCACAATAAATATACCAAATTTAAGTGAAGAAAATAGCGTGTCTGAAATTGAGGTAGAATACTACATATTATGTTTTAATTTAAATCTTTATTTTGCAGTTAAGCAATCTTAACCAATAAATTAATTTGATTGCAGATAAATATTTCTGTAAAAGAATCATCCAATGAAGCAACTGTGGTCAAAGACTTCATTTACCACCAAGGGCGAAGTAAAATCCGAGATCAATTAGAACAATATATTAAGGATTTAAAAGAAGGTAATTATATATTCAACTAAATTAATTATTATCCTAAAATATTTATCTTTTACAAAATTATAACACATGTATAATAAATTAGTACTAAAATTTAAAAAAAAAATTCTGTAAAGTAGTTAAATTGATTATATCTATTATTTATATAGAATAACAAAGAGATCATTTTATACATTTAAACTTAAATTTCATAAAAAGTAACACATTAATTTCATTACATTAAGAATCATATTTTTTTATTATTCATTAAAAATGATTTTAAGATATAGTCATCTTTATTAACATATTGCTAAATGAGTAGTTAGAACTACTCTCAGTCATATGGGAGGAGGGTTGAATAGTCCTCAACCCAATGAAAAATTACAGTATTTAAGTTGAAAATTTGAGAATATTAAAAATATCTCCCATTCAACAATTCTCTAACACTGAGCTATTGCATTACTATAATTTTATAGTTATAGCATTTTAAAACTAAGTGCAAATTTGACTGTCCAGTTCCATTTTTCTTGTAATAATATATAGATATCATGTAATATTTCTTAAAAAACAAATTATAATATTGTGTTACTTATTGTCTTAATCTTGTTCATCCCTATTCATAGAATTTTCCAAAGGCATGATACTGCCTAAAAAGGATAAAGTTACGTCATCAAAACCATCCCTATTCAAAGAATCAATACAAAGCGTTCACAATCCTGAAAATGTAAGTTTTAAAAAATATATAACATTAGTTTAATTTTAATTTATTAACAGGTACATTTATTTGTGTTATAGGGTGCAAAATCAGATAAGTCAAAGTCTAAAATAGATACCACTACTATTGTAATGGATGTAGTGTTCCAATGTAGTGGAGATGATATTTACAATGTGCTTACAACACCCAATGTTAGTAAACAAATTTATAAATTAATTTTTTTATTCTGCCATTATTATTTCATTTTTACAATCTTTGGCAAGTTTCTAAGCGGTGTCACGTCATTTTGACGAGAGATAATAGAGCACATGGCACATGGCACATTTCGATGCATTTTTCATTTTTAATTATTATTGTTGTTTTATTTTTGAAATAAATGTATATGTAAAATAAAATAAAAATGTGTCGAATTAGAGTTTGCGTCAAAATGACCATGTCCATTTGACACATGCCGAAATTACCGTGTCAGTGACGTAGATTCCTTCTAAGCTTATTAAATCTCGTGTAAATATCTATTCCTCCTGCACAACTTTCCAGTTGAGATGTACAAATTTCTTATTTTCATCCCTCAATGTTCTATTATAATGAAAAACAATTCTTAATTGGGACATAAAACATACCCTATTGCTATATATCTTTATGACTTCTATTATGTTTCTTCAACTTGGGTTAACTTGCCTGTTAATTTGCTCATTGCATCCATGTCTCCATATAAATGTATAATATGTCTTATTGATATAAGTAAGTAAACTCCACTTAAAAGTTTTTATTATGTTGCTTATTTTTGACAAAAGTTAAGATATATTATTAAAATTAATTTAATAATATAACAACATGGATAAAATCCCTTAAATATAAAATACAATTAGAATTTGAAATAATGCAATTTGATGACTATTAAATTTGAAAATAAAACTTGCATAACTTAATTTAACCAAATTTTTAAACTAACAGTTTTACATATTGACAAATAACAACCATATATGAGTTATTTTTAGAAATTAATATTTAATGACTAATTTTAAATTTTATGTTTAAGTATTATAATTTCAGTATTCCATAATGTTGACATATATGAACGCATTTTAATAAAAAAAAATACATTGTTGATACTGTTGTATGGAATGATCATGAGTGATTTTATTTTACTTCGTTTCTTGATTTTTGTGATTTAAATCCGGTTTAATATTACCAGCCTTCGTAGTAATTAAAAAAAACACTAATATATGTTTATGTTTATAGCTTGTATCAGCCTTTACTAACCAATCTGTTGAGTTTCAAGCGATCAAAGGTGGAAAATTTCAATTGTTTGATGGCAATATTACTGGAGAATTTATTGAACTCGTAAGTACATAATATGTGTAAAAAAATATAGCATAAAGTGATCCACCTCAAATAATAATTTTAATGTATTTGAGTTCTTTAACTCAATAATGTCTATTAATTTAATATAGTTTTATACTTGTGTTTATATTTTATAACTAGGCAATTGAAAATAAATATTTGAACATTTACTTTTATAGTTTTTTTTAGTAAAATTTAAAATAGTTTTTAGACATTTTCCATAACCATATATAATTTGTATGTAAATATATTTTATTTTTACATTTTTTTATTGGTATGCCTATACTAAATAAAACTTAATTTTTATATGTATACATAATTTTATTGTATTTGTATACAATGTTAATTAATTGAAACAATTGTGATAAATACCTAGAATTACTTATTATACTCAAATTTTTACCAATAAATTCAAATGCATATCACTCACGCTATAGTTTAAATATAATTTTTGATATTATTATAATTTACTTAGAATCCTGGAAAGAAAATTGTTCAAAATTGGAGAACCAAACAGTGGCCTGATTGGTTATACTCTACTGTTACTGTTATTATAAATCAACAAGATGACCACACAAAAGTTAAAATTACTGTTGTAGGAGTACCTAAATAGTAATACACATTAAATACTTAATTATTTTATGGGGTTTTGATAAATTCTTGAATTTACATTTTTTTAAATTTTTTTTAGTGATGAAGCTGTTACTCGTCAAAATTGGGATAGATACTACTTCACGCCTATTAAAAGAACATTTGGATATGGCATATTACTATGAGTCTGAACAATACTACAAAATCTTTAATATGGTTTATTTTGTATTTATTTTCAAAATATTTAACTTGATTATATTAAATTTTTGCACCTAACTTAAGTGTATTCAAAGCGTTCTAATTTATTATTAAACATCTTCAGAATGTCGTATTTGTTCCATAGAAATTCATTCATACATTAAGATTATTTTTCAATTTCTGTAACTGATGTATATCAATAGAGTGAAAAATAAGAAAATAAAAACCTGGTTTTTTTTTTTTTATTAAATTTGAAGTGTTATTTATTGTTCAATGTTAATACAATTTATCTATTTTGATACAAACATTCAAAAAATAATTGGTTGACATAATAATATCACGTGTGAATAGTAATTTTAAAATTAAATCAATTTTGGTGGTGCTTTGAAAACCGGAGGTGGCATTTCTGAACATTTTTTAACAATATTCCTTGTGTTAGAACATTCTGAATCTATTAACATTTAGAATAATATTAATTATACTATTAATAACTTATTTAGTTTTACTTACTTTCAACCCATATATCTTTAGGACAATTCTGAAATATAAAAATAACATAATTAATATCTATCTTATTAATACTTAATAGAAAATATATTTTCTCGTGTATAAATTATGTTAATATTTAGGTATTACATTTTTAAGTTCCTGACTTAAACAACACATATCAGAATGTATTTTTTTTAACAAACATTTTATTACATAAGATCGTGCACATTTTTATTACAATACTCTATTTACTCTACTTTATTACAATTTGAAGTTTATTAAAGGAAGTTACCCCGCATCAAGATTTTAATTAATAAATGAACCACACTTAATATTTATATCAGTCTTTAGAGAAAGATAAAATATTTAAATATGAAACATTGATAATAAAATATGGATTTCATATTCTAATTTAAAAAAAATTATATACACTAGATTCTGCTTAATTTTTCCACTGGTTAATGTAGGCATGACCTTGTATGGGCATAATGGTCTGGTCCTGAATTATCTATACTAAGCAAAAAAATTTTCAATTTATAAATATCTAAAATAATTTGTATTGTATATTTTTCTTGTTATTGAATATTTACTAGATAAAAATGGCTGTATTATAAATTTTGAATCACTCTGTGTATATATGAACATTCTAAAAAAATATACTACCTAATAGTATATATAGATATTTGAAAAATGTAATGCTTTTTACCATAAACAAATCTCTCAAGAAACATTTCATTAATCTTCCTGCTGGGGTATTCATCATTGGCATGATTTTTATATTTTCATCTTTGACTAAACAAAAAATTAAAAATTAATTCAAAAATAATTAATACAATATTCAATTTTACCTTCATCAAAACATTTATTGAGTGCTGGCTCCCATAAAGATTTCCACTTGTGGTCATTGTTCATTCCTTCACTCATCTTTTTTGTTATCATTTCTTCATTAAGTTTTCCATCGTTAGTCTAGAATAATATGTACCTATATCAAATGTTTTTAATGAGGTATTTTAAATTGTTTACTTACAGCCAATCCGGATTGCATAAAAATACATTGAAAAAGACATGGTGGATCTAAAAATATATGATAAGGAATTAACTTTATTGAACAATGCATTAATGATAATGGTTGGAAAATGTATTAATGGCCATTATATTTTCAGTAAACTAAAAGTAAATGTAACACTTAGTTTAAACTATTGACCTTGTCTAATAGAACTAAATTATATAATAATTTGTACATCAATTGTATTAGAGACGATCTGTCATTATGGAAATAAAATTATTACAGTGCAAAAAGCAAAATAAATCACCCTTAATTGTTGCAAGTGTTTTAAGTGCCTATACATATTGGAGGTTCAATTTAACATTAAATCAAAATAACTCCATAAATGGGTAGTATTACACTTTATTATAATAGTGTACCTTTTCCGTGTACCATTTCCTTGTATTCTTCTGTTTCAGGTTTATCCTTAATTTGCTTGAATTTTTCAAAACATTTTTCCCATGCATTGTCCAAACCGGGTAATATATTTGGCATTTGACAACATGAAGGTAATTTCTATAAAGATAGTAAAAATCTGTTACTGTTATATGATTAATTGTAGTTAGGTAGTAACTATTAAATTTAAAGACCTACCCATCTTTACTAAGTTGTTGCCTGTAAGAAAATTATTAGAATATTTCAGAAATAATGTCTACATGTTGATAACTACATTCTATTAAATTTTCTTTTTATTTGATTATTATTAAATAGATAGAAATTAATCAGAGATATGTCAGAATTACTCATAGACATGATTAAAATTCTATTCTTTTTTTGTAAAATAATGAAATATTTATTTAAACTAGGTAGGAGAGTAATTTAAATATACTATAGGTAAATGTATTTACTATTTAGCCATTTAGTAAATTAGTTGCTAATTATTTACAAATTACAACTAACATTAGCTTACAGGGGATGGGTAACTTTTATTCATGAAAAATTATTATAATGTTTTTTTTGGTTATAAATAAATTATAGTACTAAGATTATAATTAATAATATAGGTAATTTAATAAGATATTATGTATTAGGTAAATATGACTATGTAGTAGGCAGGATCGATGAGAGAAAATTAGGGGCCAGGAGTATAGTGACACACAAGCCCAAATTTGTCTCATACACGCTTGTTCGATATGTCCCAATTAAAAATTAAAACAAAATTATATTTTTATTTACCTATTTACGCCTCACGACAAAATATAAAATGCATTATGTCGATTATCGAATGTAGGTACAACATACCTATTTAAAAATAATTATTTTTAGTAATTATTAAATTAATTATGTTAAACTCATTATGTACAACGGACACTAGTTGTCACACGTGTTATAAATATAACCTATAGGTACCTACTGTATATTATTATTTATTCGAATCATCCAGCGTATCTCTTATGTACGTACTGTAAGATAACAAGTCTCAGTCTTTTTTTTATTCAAAAATCCAAATAATAAAATTATTTTGCATTAAAGTTTTACAGAGGCCAGGATTTTTCAAAATTCTGTAAACACCTAGATCGGTACTTATTTTGTTGTGCTTTTTCGGTTCACATACCGAGTCCTAATGAAAATCCCTGGCTCAGGGTGATTCACCCTCGACCTCCCTCCTCCACTCATCGGACCTGGTAGTAGGAGGTGTTGTCAATTTGCACTAAAATTGACGCTAAATATATAAAACATGTGTAATTTGCCCAAACATTTTTGAACTGCGCTTGTAATTTGCACCAAAATTCAAATCGATTATTCTTTCGATAGTATCTATGTACAAGTTTCGATAGTAGAGTATAATATATTGAGAAGCCTATAAAGACAGAATATTCCGTTTCGGTTTTGAGAGGTTATTTCACATATCTACCTATTTTCACCGTTCTACGGTTAGTCAGTATTGACTTAAAAGCTACCTTATAACAATGATATATGACAGATATATTATATAATATTATTATAATGGCATTTTAGGCAAAAATGAAAATGAAATACTATACAAATGTATAAAAGTTTGAAAATATCAATCAAATAATGTAATAATAATGCGTTATAAAACGAGTGTATACTGATAAATTCATTCTTTAGAAACAGAATATTTTAGAGATAAACTTATCTTAAAGAAAACAATAATTTTTAGATTTTTAAAAATAGTAATATAGACTAGCTAACACTTTCTTTTATACCACTATGGGTCAATCAAATACATAGATACTCATTTTGATGCAAATTACAAAAACAATTTTTAATTATCTACGGTGGTGCAAACTGCATACCCTTATTTCGGTGCAAATTATAAACTCCCGTAGTAGGTACCACAAAATAGTAGCAGGTACTGTATCCATTGTTAAACTATTTATATTACTTACAATATAGACAATTAAATTTTATATTAAAATTAATTTACAGTATTAATATACCTTTCCTGGGCCTGGCATGAGACTGTGACAATCTTCATCATTTGCCATACGCTTTTGACGGAAAATCCATGGCCTTTCATGCCCAACAGTCTACAATTTATATATTATTTTATATCAGAATTGAATAGATATATTAATTTGACCCTTTGCACCCATTATGATACAGGTAGTATATTTATTTAATTTAGTTAGATAGATTAGTGGTCCGCTTATATATTTCGTACAGACCTCTCTAAAATTACAAAATTTAGTTCAATAGTTTATGCAATTTGTAGATTATTAAGCATCTTCTTAAAATGTACACATTCTATATAACTATTGATTAGATATATTGAAAGTGTTCATGTTAAGCTTGTTAAGCTTCACATGTTAAATAATAGATTTACAGTAGTAGGATATTCTTTAAAATGTATTCAAATAACCTTAACAGCATATAGACCCTCCTGGAAAGGTATGGGACGATCACCATTACACGATCGGCATATTTCTAGTTTAAAAATAAATAACTGGAAATTGTCTGTAATAAGTCATTTTATTTATTATCATAGTACCTACCTGGATCCTATTTCACAGCTATATTATATTATTTACAACGACGCGTATGTGGTTATTATTAAAGTTAAGGTAAAAGATATTTGGTTGAAAACATGATTAATGATTTTTTTATAATCCAAATACATAATAGAAATTTTTCTTCTAAAATATCGGATTTTTTGAAAAACCGATATCACTGATATCGGCCATTATCAAATATCGACCCACTCCTAATAAAACCTATTAAGTACCTACCTATATACTGTATACTGGATCATAGGTTTCCTGATTTACCCAATTATTATAAAAACCGCTGGGAAAATCAATAATTGACCTCTTTATAGTATCACCCAGATAATATTTCCTTCCAGAAAAAGTACTACACTTGAAAATCTGTAAAACCAATACATTTCCCACTGCGCTTAGAATCTAAAAGCACAAAGGGCATCGAAAATTATGCTCTGTTAAGTAACCTGTAATACCTTAAATCATGATATTTACCGATAAGTTATTTCGATTTAAATAGATTAAAATTCCGAACCAGACCTTTGACACATATGTATGAAATGTAAATATCTTAATATATAGGGGAGCAACAATGAATTCGCAGGAGAGGCAATTGCATACTCTGTCCACCCCCTCTGTAGTACCGCCTATGCATATACATAGACATATATAAAATATAGACTATACCTAGTGCTCAAACATGTAACCATTCAGAGTACCTACCTACCTATATATTAATTAAACTAAAGCAATTTTATTGATTCCCGGGATAGCCTATGCTGTTAGGGAGTTGACTTAACATTTTTTTGCTTAACTTCCTTAGTCATTTTCAGTTAATATATTTAATATGACCATCTTTATCATATGCTTTAAGCTAACCCAAATAATTTTGTTATGAAAATTTGAAAAAAATAATCAACAATATTCAACAAAAATCATATTACCTAGTCATTAAATGATATTGTTATACCTACTTGCATGTACTGTCACCGTCTTACAAACTTAAGATATATTAAATTCAATGCCAACAGAGATAATTCTGTGCTATTAATTTTAAAGCAATATATAAACATAATTATTAAATTTAGATATTTCACATAATCATACCTGTAATTGTTCAACAATGTGTCAATTCATTTTAAATATTAAGACTACTTAATAGCACAATATTATCCCTATACTGAACACAAATTTGTTATTTTGTAAGCTTGTAAAACAGAGACAATACAAGCCGGTATCACGTCCGCGTAAGCATTTTACCAGATAGACAGTTGTAATTTTCACACTTATACAATATACAACTTTAACACACCTGCCTAATAATTAAAAACATTGTTTTGGGTTGCACTCATATTTAATTTTTGAATGTGACCTGAGAGTTTAAAAAATTTGAAAATTATTGCCTTAAATGAATAAAAATGTATTACATAAGTACAAAATATGTATTTAACTTACTAATACTGTTTGACAGATAACTACGAAAATACATATAAAAATAACTTTGTCCATATTTAATTTTCTATAAACATTTAAATTTTATTGACAATAATAATAGTAAAAGTTATTTTTTACACTGATGACAGTTTCACCTGTTCAGTACCTATAAATAAGTACTTCGTTTTCCAACAAAAAAAAAAGAAAAAAGTAATGGTAATAATTATAACCTAGTTATTAAATCTTTTTCAAGGACTAAAAAAACAATTATTATTTTTTTTTTTTTTTGTATTTAACAGGAAGTTATAATGAACTACACAGGTATACTTGAATATAGGTAGGTATGCATTATTACCTATAATAACGAAATAGATAAGTACATTATTGTCCAAAAACTGAAAATATTATATTTTTTAAACCTTTTTGATTGATGTATTAGTTTAATTTGAATGCATGTCCCTCATGTAAAATTAATGCAGGTTATTAAGGTACTATAATAGTGCACATCCTGGGTTATTAGAAATAATAATAATGATTGTTTATTAAAATGTATACTTAAAAGTATATCCGATGTTCGTTTGAATAATATTGTTTGAAATTTAAGAACATTAAATTTGTAATATTAAAATATTAACTGCACGGAAAACATCAATTTGTTTATAATTTCAAACATCAATTTTTATTTATTTTTTTTTTTTTTTTATAGAAAAATAGAATATTTTATTTGTAATTACTATAAATTAATATAGTAATAAAAAAATAATAATAATTATGCTTTTGTATCTATTTACTAGAGATACGTGTAATTACTTCATATTTTATATTTGTATAAATATGGGGAGTGACTAAACGGGCCATCTGCTCACCCCAGCTTTTAATATGGAAATAAATTTGTGATATTTAAATAATTTATCGAATCGTACATTGTATAAGGTATGACATATTAAATCTTGGCCCTTTCTAGAAACATTACTGCGGGCCCCTATACTATCTATATTATGTAATCCTAATTAGAAATTATAATTACCTATTTCACATGTATTTAAAAATTTAAAATTTAAAAATTTTAACATTTACAAATACCCCACTTATATGAATTATTAATTTATTGTTGATTAATAAACAAGTTAATAATAATTTTTGTAAAAAGCGAAAGATTTTTTCGATTGAAGGGGAACCGGAGTTAACAATAATTAATCAATAATTAAAATATAGGTAGGTACATATTATAATAATATAATGTTGTATAAAATATTATAACAACTTGTTGATTAAAGTTTTCAAGTTATCTATTATAATTATTACCTATATAGGTAGGTAATTGACTTAATAACGCATAAAGTTACAAGTATTTAAATATTAATAATTATATAATGTTCGAAACTATTGGAAGTATTTCGAGCAGATTTATTATTTTGTTTTATAAATTGTGTGTATTAGCTACATTGATTCCGAATGACGTCAACGCTGCCGTTCCCACGTGTTAAAACGGATCAATAACGTTAGAACTTTCAAAGCTCCTCACTAGGGTACACCACTTGTCTCAGTCATAGTTCCATACGGAACTTTTCTCTTGTAATCATTTAAAAACAATGTCTGCACAAAATTAAATCTAAACTAGGTGTCTAGGTACCTACATTATTTGCAAGCAATATTCTTAAACCATGTTTGAGGGTATTGTTGCATCGTTACTCAATAGATACCTCGGGAAGTATATAGAAGATTTGGACTTAGAAAACTTAAATGTAGGCATATTCGGAGGGAATGTGTTGCTGTCAAATTTAAAGTTAAAAACTGAAGCTTTGGTAACGTTTTGCATTTATTTAAATTCTAACTAAAACTGTATTAAACTTGTTATTATTGAGTTTAGTATGAACTCGGACTGCCAATTGAAGTGAAAGCTGGCTCGGTTGGAAAATTCAATGTGAATATACCGTGGAATGGACTTTCAAGTCAGCCAGTAGTGATAAAAATTGAAGTAGGTACCACCTTAGCATTGAAACAAAATTTTTTCAAAACATTTTTCTAGGTATTTATAATAATAATTGTATACTATTTAATTTAAGGAAATATTCATTATCGCCGGACAAGTTATTGGAAAAGAATGGGATACAGAACTAGAAAAACGTTTGATGAGAGCGGCCAAGAAGAGAGTTTTGGAAAGTATAGAAAATGTATTTATATTTGGTAATGGTAAGTATAAATGCATATTACATACATTTGATAACGGCAAAATTAAATTAATTAAAAAAAAAAATACCTATATTTAATTTAGGCTTAACAAATAATGGTGGGTTTCTTGAAACTTTATTAACCACTGTTATGAATAATTTACAAATCTATATAAGAGGCGTTCATATTCGATTTGAAGATTCAATGACTAATATAGATTCACCAAGATCTTTAGGCTTATGTATACAATCAATCTCATTGGAAACAACCAACAGGTTATTTACATTATTAATTTAGAAATTAGATTAGTAGGTACCTAGATAGGTACCATTTAAGCAACTGCTATTCATTTATTACAGTAAATGGAAGCCAATTTTATCACAACAGCGTGGACAGACTTCTGTGTATCACATTGTCAAAATTGATTCAGCTTCATTATATTGTAATACAATGTGTTCAAATTTATTGTATAACAATAAAAGTGTGGTAACAGATTGGCAGGATAAAATGCGATCAGGTCTTAACAACTTTCAAATAAATGAAGAACCCTTGGAATTTAGTGAGTAACTATTATTAACTAACTATAAATGTATATATTTTATTTAATAAAGTACCTACTTATATTCAGACTAATATTTTTTTGATGTGCCTATATAGTACTGAAACCAGTTGTACTGAAAATAAAAATTATTATAAATAAATCAAATGAAGTAAGAGTTCCTAAATTACTCGTTGACTTTGTTCTTCAAGATGCTGCTTTACAAATATCTAGAAAACAATTTGTTGCTTTGATAGAAACTGCAGATTTTATGAAATTGGCAGAGATTAATAGGTCAGTAAATAATTATATAAATTAAAATACAATGCAATACTTTCAGAAATGATGTACGGTTATAAATAGGTACTTACTTCAGTGAACATGTAGGTATATATATTGTGTATTATGAGTTATGAGTTTATGATTCATTGTTAATTATAATAAAAATACTAGGATTTTAACTAATTATTTTATGATTATATTTCAGATTATATCAAGATATTCGCCCTCATTGTAACGTTTTAAATAACTCTAAAAGTTGGTGGATATATACTTATAAATGTGTTTTACGACAGAGAGTTACATCACTTTGGCAAAAAATAAAAACTCATAGGTTAATAATCATTTTAATTAATTAAAAATGGTATAAGTATGGCATTTATAAGTAAAATTTTTAATTTTCTGTATTTCAGAAAGAATTATAAGAGTTATAAAAATGTGTACAAAAAAGTTCTGGTAAATCCAAATGATACTGAATTAAAAATAGATTTACAAATGCTTGAAGATGAGTTGGACATTTTTAACTTAGTTCTAGCAAGAGAACATGCTAAAATTGAAGTTAGATATGAGAACTGTTTATATATATAAATACCTATATATTTAATATTAATTATTTTTCAAATGTATTTTAAAGCTTTGTGAAGAAAATCCAGAAAGTGTTACTATTCAAGAGTTCCAATCAAAATGGTGGTCAAGTAATGCTAATTCTATGTATCGTTTATGTCTAACATCTGATAAAGGTAAAACGTTTTGGAATCTACTCAGTCAATCAGAAAAAGATAGACTTAATGATTTGCTTGGTAAAAATGATGAATCACAAATATCTAGATACGATAAACCAAAACAGTATATAGGTATACCTACTCTACACAAATATCACTTATTGTTCATTATTTGTACAATAATGAAGTTTTACTTTTTTAGAACACAAGATTAATTTAACAATAGCAAATTGTTTGATTAGTTTAATAAGTGGTTCCAATGAATTAATGGTTATTACCATTGGTCATTTAATGAGTAGTCTTGAAACTAGACCATCTGCTAAAGCATACAAAATATCTACAAGAATTGAAAGTATAAATGTTGAAGCTTCTGTAGAATATAGTCTAGTTCCAATAATTGATACCTGCTCAATGCAAGGTAAATATAAACAATTTTTCTATAGTGACATTTATATAAAATTATTATTAACATAATATTTATAATCCATAAGGAAATTCATCAAAATATTTTTTGAGTATTGATTTTGAAAAAAATCCTCTAAATTCAGAAGCAGAATACGGATTAAATATTACATCAGAAGCAGTGGAAGTAGTTTATTATGAAGTAGGTTTTTTCAAATTAGAATTCATTATAATTATATTATGTTATGTTTTTATTTTTTTAGTTTGCTATATCTGCATTACTCAGCTTCTTTTATTATAACCAAAAAATTAATATTGAATCGGTCATAGAAAAATTTTATAAAACAATTTATAAAATATTTGAAAAAATATTCAATTCTAGTAGACCAGAGTCCAAGTTCAAAAAAATTCTATTAAATATTGATCTTCAACTACCATATGTTGTAATTCCAGAATTTGGTTCGATTCAAAAGTATGTAATATTTATTTTAGAAGTGTAATTTTAATTAATTATTTTAATTACATTTAATAGAGGTGAAAATTTAATGGTGGTGGATTTCGGTGGATTAAAAATTAAAAGTGATTTACAACCAGAAACAATCTGTTTAGATGATGCAACTCAAATGGAAATGGAGGAAAAACTTTATGATCGATATTATATTGATATTGACGGATTTCAATTAATATTTTGCAGTTCAGGTTAATATTACTCGTTTATACACTTTATCAGTATATAGTATATAGTAATAAAAGCAATGACCAATATATAATTTTTGATTTATGCCTTATGAATTTTAGGAAATGATTGGAGGAGTTTAAAAAATCAAATTAATTCATCATCACATATTTTAGCAAAGACTGTTACTCAAATTATCTTATCAAATAGTATAAGACCAGAATACAAACAATTGGCTAAAAGAAAAATCAATATATCTGTTCAGAATATTAAATTGAACTTATCTGATCATAAAATAAGTTCAATTTTAGACTTTTTTGAAAATACACCAATACCATCAAATCATGTATCATCAGCAATTTTAAAAAGACATTATAGTGATGATGATGAAGTATACGCATTGGATAAAGTTAGTAATATTATGATTATTAAAAGTACCCAATAATTTAATGTATAATTAATTTAATTGGTTAGATTAACTTACATCAAACAAAAAGAGAATTGCTAGAATTAAAATCTACCTTGGCGCTGTATCAGAAATTGAAAGGCATTAATATCAGATCAACTGAAGAGAGAGCTGAAGTTAAAATAGCTTTTAAAAATTTAGAAAAAAAGTGAGTTATTCATTATTTAAGTATTAAATTAATTGAGTAAAATTCTAATGTCCATATTTTAATAGAATCTATTTAATAAGCTTTTTATAAGTATAATAATTCAATAATTTGAAATTTGAACAAAATTTATTATTTTAGTATTTTGATCGGAAATTTAAATTATTATAGACTAATAGATAGAAAACTTATACTTGAAATATAAATAATTAATTCAAAGAAGTTATTTCAAATTTATTAAAATTACATTATAGATTATGAAGAAATATGAAAGTTTTTATTTTTCAGAAGTATAGTTTCATCAGAAATTAGCGATGAAGAATTTGCTGAACTTTGGGCTCGTACAGTTGATTTGCCTGGGTTTGATGACAATGTTTCTCCAAATAATAGTATTACATCTCTTTTCAGATGCGTTATTGGCGAAGTAATGTTTTTAATAAAAATATTGATTTCCTTATATTTCATAAAAATATTTTTTTTAGATTTCGATTAATTTCCGTCAATTCAGTGATCGAACAGAAAAATCTTATCTAAATTTGATATTAAAACGTTTTTGTTGTGATCTGGCTATTATGGAGTATGGACCAGCTGTACAAACTTCTGTTGGATCAATTGTTCTGTCTGATTTACAACATACTTGCAAAAATGGTGACTCTGTTCAACTATTTTCAATAATATCTGATTATTTAGTACAAGATTCTATTAATTTACTTTACAGAAAGGTATAAAAACTAAACATACATAATATATAAATTAATAGATTAAGTGTATTACATTTGTTTTGTAACATTTTAGGTAAAAGCTAGTTGTCCCGATTTTAAAAGTCATTTTCACAGTGTTGAAAGGTCTCTGGTGTTAGATTTAAATCAAGTATCATTTGTATTTCATCGTACTGCATTTATAACATTTTATAAATATTTACAAAATATCGTGAAAAAGTAATTTTTTTTTTTTTCATTTTAATATAATATTATTATAATAATATGTATATTTTTTTTTTATTGCCCATATTTTAAAAATATACTTTTATAGATTTTATAATAGACGGATTTGGAGTTCTACTTTGTCAACTGAATACATCCAGAATTATATAAATAACTGTTTTTATAATGATGATCCCCCTATACCCCAGGGAGCAACAAAGTTTAGTTACTCTGCAAGGATTTCCAATTGTAAAACACTAGTTTGTGATACTGGATTAGATTTTTTGGATGTCAAAGTAAGATTTGTTTTAATTTTTCATAATTAAATATTATATTATTTTTATTGGTTTGAATTATATGAACAGATTGATGGTTTGGAGAGTGATTGTACATTTAAAGCAAATGATCGGATGGTATTTAGATTTTATGCAATGAATATGAGTGTTGATGATTTATCCAATATTACTTTATATCCTAAGGTATAATTTTATTTTATTATATAGACTTAAATTATTCTGATTTTTTAATATGAATATTTAATAGTTGTTATATACGGATGAGGATAAGCTTTTGGAATTTAAATATGTTCGGCATAATCCCAGACTTTACAAAACTAATATTGAAGCTCGAAAAGATGATGTAAAATCTGATGGAACTATTAAGGTGCATGTGGGACGAGTACATATGACTGTTTTATGCAGTATTCTATTAGATTTTCAAGTAAATATTTAAAAAAAACTATCAGCATATTACCTTGTTTAATTTAACTATTTTTCCATAATTAGTATTTTATGGAACCAATTGTTTCTGAAGAACTCATTGATTTTAGTCAACACGTTCGTAAAATTATCATTCCATATACTCCAGATTTACGAAATGGTTGGAAGAATAAAATTCATTTGTCAATATCTTTGCATCTACCAGTAGTATTATATCCACAAAATTGTACATCTCCAAATGTTATTTTATGCAGTTTTGGAGATCTTTCTGTAGAAAATTTTTTCAAAGAACAATCAAAAAAAGATTTTGACTGTATAGATATTGTTGATAATATATTGGCTAACTGGGATGCAATTAATGTATCCAGAGCTATTATGACATTGGATGGAACACTTATTACTCAAGTAAATAATTACATATTATTATAATAATTTAATGAGAATATTTGTTTAATTTATTGTATCATATAATTATATAGGAGCCAATGGTGGAACCATTTGGAATTCGTTTAGAAATTAAAAGGAATACTACAAATAAACTTTTGTATTGGGTAAATGGAGGTATTGACAATGTACAAATTAATTTGGGACAAAAAGATTTTGCAACATTTTTACAAGTTTGGGCAGACAACTTTGAGTATGGTCATTGTATTAATGAAATCTGTTATATGATGACACCACACAGTAATGAAGTTTTGGAAGATCAAGATTTGAAAAAAATACAAGTATTTTTTAACCATGAAGTTTCTGTTCAAGAAATTGATTTCAAATTTACTATAGATGGTGTACAAATTGCACTTTTTGCAAATTCAGATGAAGTATACATAATACAATATTACAATACCTATTAATAATAATATTTTTTTAAAAAAAATGTTTTTTTCTAGACATTAAGTTCACCTATAAGGGATATAAATCATTCGTTATGCAAATTAGATTTGGATGAAATAAATATTAAGATAGATGTATTTTCAGACGATAGATTGATTTTAAATACTACAATACAAAGATGTTTATTAGAAGACACTAGAAGACAAAATAAATCAGAAAAAATGTTAGTATTATAGTTATAACTAATTTATTAATATTTTTAATAAAAATATACAAATTATTTAAGGATATTTGAAGCAATTGGTCCGTTAGATTCTTCTAATGAAATACATATATCTGTATCAACTCCGCCATTATTTGACTTGTCTTTTGAAAAGACATATTCAGGTGACAGAACAATTCATATTCATTTGGATAAAACTAGATTGAATGTTTCTATTCCGTTTGTTGTGGAGTTAACACAATTTGTTTTTGATTCTTTACCAATAAAAAGAAAAGTGAATAACTATGATATCTTAGTATCACCAATGTTTAGTACAGAAGGTCGAAGAAAATACAGAGATGAAAAGTTAGCAGCAGACAAAATCCCATTAAATGTTGAAAAACAGTCTGGTATAATATTTCTTTTAGATAGAAAATGTTTATATATATATACATATATTTGTGTTTTACTAAATAAATACTGTTACATAGCTTTAACTATATCTGTTCGGTTTGGACGCCCTGAAATAGCAGTATTGCTTCCTGTAACAGAGGAATTTGATTTTCGTGATCAAGTACTTTTATGTCGAACAGAGTTCCTTTTAGATTATAGTCGTCATCCTGGGCACGAAGAACGACTAGTTTGTTCATTATCAAATTTTCATATTTTAGCGACATCAAAAAAAAGAAGAGCTGAAAAAATGGTATTTAAGAAACATTTATATTATATTGAAAATCATAAATATTTATATAATTTTGTATTGCATAGGTTTTACACCCGTGTGATATTGAGTTCTCAAGAACTATAAAGTCAGGAGACCGTGATACAATTGAAATTCTAGTTCGTTGTAGCCCTATAAATTTACATTTATCAACTAGTACCGTTCATATAATTCTCAATGTATGTTTTTATAATTATTAATTTATAAAGAAAAATATATTCATTATTATGGTTCTTTAAGGTTATTGATTATATAGAACTAAACTATGAAGATGAATTTGATATTGATAGATCATCTTATTGGGAATTTAAAAATGATGAATTGTGGACTCCAAAATCTATAGTACCTAGTTATTTACCCAATAAGTTAATACCAAATGGAAAATTGTTATCATTTTTCAAATTTAAATTTTCTGATGCTATGGATGTGAAATCAGAAAATCTTGAGCTCTATATACAAGATATAAATGTAGCTTTAGAAATAGAAGAATTAGATTTAGAAGATATTCCTATAATTATGTTGAAATCATCATTAAAAGTTCAAGTAAAAGACTGGTCTGATCAGTTTCAATTAAATGGTATACATGTTTGTTTTAATTATCGTACTAGTAAATTAGTAGAACTATATATTATTATATATTCGATATGTATTTTATTTCTAGGTGATTTAAATTTAAAAGCTTCATATTATAATTGTAATTTGAGTGTTTGGGAACCATTTATTGAACCATGGAATATAACATTAAAAGTATATACAAATAAAATATTAAATCATCAATACACTTTTTCATTTTTTTGTAATTTTTTGGATTAGGGTTTTTTGGCAAAGTTCAATGAGAAGCATGCTGATTTAGGTGAAATGGTTCGAACATCTCTACAGTCGATTGTTGAAGGTGAGAGTGAAACATCAGATGATGAAAGTGAAGCTGAAATGAAATTCATTAGGAAAAAAGTGAAGTCCAGAGGTACAATAAGATTTTAAATATTTAGTCAATTTAAAAATCAGTAAATCGTTCATTTTTCAATAATAATATTTATATAGAAACTTCACTTGAAAAATGGTACTCTGATGACTCAGATTCAGATCAAGACACTGGAGTTATGAATAAATTAGCTAAAGCTGTAACACATTTAATTTCAGAGTATGATCAAATATTTTCATCTACATTCAATTTTATTTTAATACAATTTTTATAGTGATTTTAGTGATGAAGATATAACAAATACAGATTCTAGTGATGAAAGTATAGCAGAACACGAATCTAAGAATATTAACCAAGATAGGACTTTAAAAAAAAAAATCAGTAATTTTTAAAAAACATTTTATTGTAAATATTGTAATTTTGACATTACTATATTTTTAAGGTGATTCTAGCGACTCTGGGTTGGAAAATGATTCTGATGAATTGGAAACATCCACATACATAATTTTTGAAACTGATAGGCTTGAAGTTTCATTTACTCCAGCTAATATATCTGCTATTGATACGCTCATCAAATCATTGTATAATCCGAGAACTGATGATTGTGATTCAACTGAGAGTTTTGTTCTTGTTAATGATCTTGCTGTAAGATCTATTGTTATATTAAATCAAAAAACTGAGGTAATAAATAATACATATTTATATTGTAACTAGTTATCTTACCCTTCATCTTATTTAGCTTCTATAGCACATTCAAGGTATTTCATGACATTTTTTTTTATTTTCACTTTCTTCTAGTTTCAATCTTAATTTTAATTTTTGGAGATCTGATTTAAATTTAACTATATCTATTGACTTCAGTTAGAGGTGCTTACCTCTAAGTATTGTTCCATTGATTGTGTCTGTTATCAGAAATATAATCAAGTGGTCTATTTTTTTACAACTTAATTTTCATATATTTTTTTATATATATATATATATATAAATCAAACTAATATTTTATTTATTATTTTGATATTTTGTAAATTTTGAAAATGCACCCTCCTCATAAATTAAATTCTAGCCATGTACCATCTTTCATTACTGTTTGTATTATACCATTAGATTTTCATACATGTACCGCCCATTTCAAACATTTGCATCTTATAATTAATGATAACTTGATATTGGGCTTTCAATACTTCTGGTAAAATTCTCAATTGGTTTTAATTATTTATAATTAGTTATAAAATACATAATTATATACTTATTAGTTGTATGCCCACTATACATGACAGGTTATAGTGGATTTTATGTTTGGTTGTCATAATAAATTAATAAAGCTTTACAGACGGATGGATCACAGTCTTTATATATACAATATATCCACTATATAAATATTGTAAATGGTACTTTAAGTGGGAATACTTAAAATTCTATGATAAATATGCATTTAAATACAAATTAATAACATACCATCTTTCTACTACTAGATTAACAAACAGTATATGTGCCTAACACGCTTATAATTTGTGTAACCAATTATTTTCCCTACATGTACATTTCTAAACTATTTTTATCTATTTATTTCTATATTTAAATTTTTCATATATGTCTTTTACATATATATGTTATTTTAGAAAGGATTAGAACAAATCTTGGAAGCAATTGATGGATCTAGAACGTCATCAATATCTAGACAAAGGTTAGTATCAATAAATAAAGAAATAATATACAAATGATATTTCTTTAGACTCTTAAGTTTAAATAATAAGTGCATTGGTTGTAATAAATGCACAAACAATATAATTATATAAATAATGAACAAAATTCTTACAATTTTTTTTTAGCATGTCTAATGATTGCACTTTCGTTAACAATTTAACAAAAAATAAAAATGTCGGCCATATTGATGACAATTTTGGTGAAATAGTTTATAGAAAAATTACTGACTATCAACTTAACATAAAAGTTGAAGGTTAGTTAATTTTATATTTGATTGAAGGTAACATTTATATTATATGAATAAAAACTTACAGGTTTTGATGATTTGATTGTGGTCTGTCCGAAACGTACATGTAACAAATTACATGCTCTTTCTCCGATAAAAAACGATACTAGATATTGGATTATGGTATCTGTAGTATCTGAAAAATTGAATCATATAATAACAATTCGATCACCTCTCATGGTATATAACAAATAAATAATATTATAAAACATGATTATATAGTTATCTGTATGTATTATTTCAGTTAAAAAATGATACATCATATCCTTTAACAGTTCATTACAATCGTACAGACGCCGTGGATACTTTTGAAATGGATTCTGGAGTTGTAGGAGAATCAGACAATCCTTTTGAAGCAATATGTACTTTGGCAATTCTTGAAGCAGGATCGGTTTTTAATGTTCCAATAGCTTTAGCATATCATTCAAAACTATTTTTATCGCCTGCTAATTTACAGTATGTAAAACAATTTAAATAATGAATAATAGGTATTTAATATTTATTGAATTTTATTTTCATGAAAATAATTTTTTTTTTTAGAAATTATCTTGTTAGTGAAACTGGTGTTTGGTGGTCTGATATGTCAATTGATACAAATTCTGCAAAAGATTTAGTATGTGTCACATCCAAAGTCGATGATCAACCAACTTTTTCTGTTCGGGTAAGAATTTATTTTATTTATCACCTAGTCATCAAGTGTTGTTTAAAAATCTAATATATTTTTTAGGTGGTTTGTGAAGAAGGTGAACCGGTATTTAACAGAGCTTCAAGAACTGTACCAAATTATACCTTAAGAGCAGTTCCACCTGTAATCATTCATAATTTTCTACCATTTGCCATAGAATTGAATTTTACAAATTTTAAACATCATATTGAAGCTTCAGAAAAAATTGATGTTTACACTTTAAATCTTATGCACAAAATTATTAAAATTGATGTAATTGTACCATCATATCTTGGTATATCCTGGTCTGGTAACTTTAACTTACGTAAAGATATAAATGAAAAAATTGTTAATATGAGTACTGAACATGACACGGACGGAGGTAACAAACATTTGAAAATTGCAGTAAAAATTACCAATGAAGATTCCTGTCGTATATTTATTCATTCGCCATACTGGATAATCAATAAAACTGGATTACCATTACAATTGAGGGTAAATTATATAATATTTAGCTACTTATTTTAATAAATTAATATTTTATATTATTTTCAGGGTTCACGATCTGATATTGTGTATGAATCACACTCAGAAGAACCTATTTTATTTTCATACAAACGCTTAAAAAAGAGGTATATTAAACTTAGAGCATACCACTCGAATTGGTCATCAGCATTTTCAATGGACACAGTTTATTGTCCTGGACTTGTGATTTGTAAAGATAAAGAACGACAGAAAAAATATAGGATTTTAATGAAGCCAGTTTTATCTCATTTGTGCCCTCATTTAACAACAATTGTGACATTCGTACCAAATTTCTCAGTGGTAAATAGTTCTAATAGAAGTTTACGTTTCATGGAAGATAATCAAGAAGCAGATTTATGGACAGATATTTTACAGGGACAAGTATGCATGAAAATAATTGTCATCTTATTTAATTAATTTCAAATATTATTTGTTTTATTATTAAAGACATTACCTTTCTGGCCTGAAACTGAATCAATGAGAATGTTTGTCAAATTTCGAGATAGCAAATCAGGATCTCAACATTTTTTGATTATAAAAGAACATCAAACTGTTCTCAGAATGGATAGAGGAGTAATAAACTATAATATATAACTATAGTCATTCAAATTAAAAAATAATAATACTAATTTTTTCAGAGAGCACTTGTTGTAAAAGTAACTGGTGGTGGTGAAAATCCATTTTTAATAAGTTTCCATAAATTTCGTCAAAATGACGCTCCAGTACGAGTAGAAAATATGTGTGATGATATATTTTTAAAAATTCATCAACAAAATTTGGGCCAAGTATTTATTTATTTTTTTTTTAATGTTTTTTATATTAATATTGATATATTATTATAAATTAGTAAGTACGTTTGAATTTTTATATTAAGGTGACATTACTAAATCCTAATCAATCTGTATTGTATACTTGGGATGATCCAACTGAGGAACGTGTACTTTACTGGAATGTGTATAGCAAGAAATCAAAAGGTTTTGTAGCCAAGTATGAAAAAGAAGGATATGGACAAGAAAGGATAAGCTTTTGTCAAATAAAACCATCAGAAACTACGAGTAGCAATTTAAATTTAATGAAATTGATAACAAATCAAACTCTGGAACCAAGTGATACCAGTAGTACTGAGGATACAGATTCTGAAGAACCCCATATTAAAGTAATGTATTTTTAATTGTTTTTATGTAAGTACCTAAATACTTACCTAATTTCTAAATTAATGTTTTTATAATTTGATTTAGTTAAACAAAGCGAAAAAAGCTAAGGTAGTAGTTTACTGGGTGAGTTATGTGGATGTTGGAGGTCAAAGAGTATTGCTTTTTACACAAGATGAAAAAATAGCATCAATAGCACGTAAAAATATAGAAAATAATAAATCTAGCGTCAACTTAATTTTATCTGTAAAAGGACTAGGATTATCTTTGGTATTTATATAATAGTCTATATAATTTCAGTTCAACAGTTCTTTATAAATTTAATATTTTAGAGTACTTCTCGGGGTGTTCACATGGAAGAAATTGCATATCTTAGCTTGACAGATTCAGCTTCTGAATGGATGGTGAAAGTTGGGCATATTTGGAAACCCTTTACAGTCGAACTAGCTTGTTGGTTAGAAGATATGTGGACAAGTGACAATAAAAAAGCGCATTTAAAAGATTATATCCACGTAAGAAAAAATAAGGTACAAACTATCTCCAACACTTATTTTAAACAAATGTTCTGTAAAGGTGGACTTTGATAAAATGCAAATGATAAGACCGTTTTTCGGGCAGCTTCGCCGTTCGTACAATCCTGCCGTATGGAGTCTCTTTAGAATGAATTCAAAAAATACTAACGTGTTATTCAAAATCCATAGAATACAAGTAACAATGAAAAATTATTAATTTATCTATAATAAATATCAGATAAAATATTTATTTTCACATATATTTATTTTATTAAGGTCCTTAGTTTAAGGACCCATCTACATTAAAAGGGAAAATAAACTAGGTACTGATGTTGATAAAAATGTTAAAAGAAATTATTTTGTTTATGACTAGTTGGACAATCAGCTATCGGATTGTACTTTTAAAACTGCGTTATACTTAACATCTTCGTGCAAAACTCCTCGAAGTTCAAAATCGTTTTTGGAAATCGCATATTCTAAAACATCAGTTTCGAACCATTACGACGTTTACAAGTACGTCATTAGACTTTTATTGTTCTAGTTATTTTTTAATAACAAGAAAAAATATTTCTTATTTATATAAATATATGTTTAGATATTTCAATATAAATATTCAAGATTTTACTGTGCAACTAGATCGGACATTTGTAGTTAGTATGCATAAAACCTTATCACCGTTGCTTGCAGTCTTTGAATGTCCGTTAGACGCGAGATTTAGGCAAGATATAAGTTTACTTCATGCACCTAATATACCGCCGGTAAGGACAATGAATATCTATTATAACATAATAATATGTTGTAAAATTGGTTACATTATATTAAATTTCAGGGGAAAAAATACGGAAAGGTATTTATTGACCATTTCCATTGTTCTGCGTTTAACGTGCAATTAAGTTTTTCGGCCAAAGTACCCGAACTTAGCCCATTGAAAAGCTCCAATAGTTTTGCGACTGATGTTCTTCTCTACATACTCGACGGTCATTCGAACCGTTTGAGTGATCTAAAAGCCGTCAATCTTAAGTAAGATTCGTGGTACATAGGTTATACAATCAGAGATTAAAACCATTTTTAAATTTTAAATTTTTGTTTATGATATTAAAATAATAATAATAATAATAACGTTTTTGTTCATCGTTTAATAACGTTATTTTATCAAATTTATTTTTGAGGTTTTTGATATCGTTATTTTGATTTTTCAGAAATTGTTTTTTTTAATACCGTTTATTATTTTTACCTACAAATTATAGTAATTATGTGTAATAATTTTTTTTAAAATAAAATAGCACATATTATATTTGGCGGAGGTTCTTAATCCGTGGTCCATGTACATTTAGTGGGCATGGGTATATAGGTGGATATTCGGGGGTCTGTAGAATGAGTAATTTTTAAAAATATGTCAAATTATTCAATTTCTTAGATTTACACAACTAACTATTGTTAAATTTATACTGAAATAGTTGCTTATTTCAAGCTCAAACCATGTTTCAACAGATAATCATAAACGATTAACGATGAATTTAATAGACATACTTTTTGGCAACAACAATACTCGTCAAACGATAACTATTACAATCCCGAGAACTAAAATAAATATTAAATTATTTAGTCATATTTTATTTTGAAATAAACTTGTCCAAAATACGAGAGTTTAATTAAAATTAATCATTCCAAAATATTAGTTTCAATGTTTTCAAAATAAAACGAAATTATTGTAATATTTCGTTTTTTTGATTTCGTTTGTGTTTTTTCTATTTTATGTTATTGAAAAATATAAAGAGTTTTCTTTGTTGTATAATTTCATTATGTTATGTTAAACGTTTTTTCAAAAAAAGGTTTCAATCTCTGCCTATAATAGCCATTCGTTTTATTTATCTTCTACGTCAATATTTTAGTGTGAATAGCTTGACTCGAAAAGGATTTTATAAAGAATCATTCAATTCGATGTTCAGTTACGGATGGAAATATTACGCTCGCCAGTTGTTAAAACAATGCCATGCTTCGATTTTCAATTTGGACGTATTGGAAAACATTTACGAAATGGACGAAGTCCAAGTGGAGAAAATTAACTTTGAAGTATTAACACATAGAATAATATATTATGCCTGATATTGTATTATTATTCTACTTGATGAATATTGGACTATATTGAACTTTATTGACTTATATATATTTTTACAGGATTTCTCAGGATCTATATGTTATGTCGGAGGACAAGGCGTATTTGCATCTGTCGAACGTGAAGAAAAATGGAACTTCAAAGAATCGTTTCCGGACAGAGTGATTTCTGCGCACAAAGGAACGGAAACGTCTGTGTTGCTATCTATGTCTGGTGCAATACAAAGACCTCATATCGGTGAATATTGTTCTTAGTATCCACGTACAATGCTTAAATATTACTATTATTATTATTGTATCAACATTATAATATGCATATATTTAACGTGTACCTACCTATATATTGTCAAGGTGGAGAGGACGAGAGTGCCGCGGAATCGTTCTTCAGGGGTCCTGGTCGGAACTTACTGGCTGTCTTGTCAAAATCAAATGTATCCGATAAGGTGTCAATGGCTTACGACGGTGTTAAAAGGTAATATAATATTATTGTTTGCGTATAATATCATTTACGTACCTATACGTATTATATTATATTATAATGTCGTGTCGTATGTTTAGAGTAATAGAATCGGGCGAAGACGTAGTTATGAGAACGCGAATTCCGAGATACGTCAATCCGATGGTTCGTACCTATAAACACGATTATTTTGTTTTACACTGATAAGTGACTAAACGACAATCATTTTACAGGGAATGAAAAGCTACTCTCTGTACGAAGCAGTCGGTTTGCATTTATTCAGAATCCTGAGTCGTACATTGTCGAATGACGGTTATTGGGCTCACGCGAGTTTCCTTCCAGAGGGTAAAAAAATTTTACTCATCACATTGAGGTACGTATACACTTATTGAATTTTTAGTATTTTCTGATTATGAGCGTAGTAAAACAGTATTAGTTATACTAAGACATATGCTATTTTCTTTCAAAAACATTATTTCAAGTAGTTTAGTAAAAATGTTCCAATTTTTTTCAATTAAATAAATCTTAAAATATGCAAATTTTTCGACTTTAATAATTTATTTGAAAAAAAAGTCTAGATTAGACTTAGTTTTTTTCTAAAAAATTATAAAAAACTAACTACAAATAGAAATGCAACGGTTTTACTTTTACTAATTTTTGAGTTATTTTATTAGCTGCAAGGAAAATAACCGCGACTAATACTATTATTTTATTAGTTTTTCCAAGCTCTGCATAAAATCTTTTTTCAATTGCAATGACTTGTCGTTTTCAGTACAAAAATTAATTACCTTTTATTTATTATAACTTACTGACTTTCTACCTACAACACTGGCTTACCTATGAGAAGAAACACGTATGTCCGGATTTATTGATTTTTATTGAAATTAATTAAAACATGATTTTAGACGAGTGATTTTAGCTGAAAAATATCGCACCAACGGACCTTGGGAAATCGAATGGAGTATCTACGTCGATAACATAATAGACGAGCCGAAAATCGAAGAAAATAAATTGATTTTCAAAGTCCGACAAGTGAGTTACGCGTGCATTTTATTATTATTCGTATTGGTAATAATGATTACTTATTATTACATTATGATAATATTATTTTTGAACTCTTACTATATTTTTCGTTTGGTTTTTTTTTTATTTTACAGGACGAACATCAATCGAGTTATTTCTTCAGAGGAGACGAAAAATGTATTTACTATGACGATAAAACGACATTAAAATGGATTAAGAATAAAATTCAACAAGTCATGGTTTTAGGATGTGAAGATAAACCTCTTAAATTTAAATCAAAAGAATAATAAAAAAAAAAAAAACTATAATATATATTATATCTAGAGAGCTTTAGAATAATATTGAATATATAGTTTAGGAATAATAATAATAAGATAAATATAATAACTAGTCGGAATAGATTAAAATAATAATAATCAACGTTTATGAAGTTGAAAAATAGTTATAATAATAATAAGTGTGATAATATTATGATATTAATCAAAAGTAGTATACGTACTTCCAACGTTTTCAACAGTTTGATTTTGATTGGTTAAATTTAGGAAACTCATACTTATATCCGCGCGTGCCTTAGTGATAAATATTATAACGAAACATCCAATACTAATAAATATATAAAAAAAAAAAAAAATTAGGTAGGTATTCACGTTTGTGATTCACCTATATGTACCAGAGTATATAGTTACCTAAACTAACTTTACGGTCTATTTTTACGAATTTAGTATACTCTTGTAATAATATTATTTTCAATCTTGTCAATGAAAAATACAATAACCGTCTACCTATACCTATTTACTAAGCTACGATAATATTAATAACATTCTATATTCTGTACTAATATATTATACTAGTATTATGATTGTAATGTTTATTGAAAAAAAAAAAAAAAATGGTTGTTGTTACTTGATTCAAAAATATATATTAAGTATAGTATAATACTACATAATGAAAATACAAAAATATATCGCAAATATTCTTCTCCGTTTCTGGCAGCACGTTATTATTATTCCCTTCTCTCGATCCACCACACAAGTATTCGATTGTCCTATTCGAAGGCGTCGGCCAGACCAAGTGCGATACACAATAGTAATATTGTTATTATTGGGTGTGCATTATTACGCATGTACCGTTCCGGACCTTATCGGATGCGTTTGAATTAACGTGCTCGGGCCACACCGCCGTGTAAATAATTGCGCGTATAATTTCCGCGCGGTTAATGTATCGGAACAAAATTTAATGATATTAATATAACGGAACGGCATTCGCGGTGGAGACGCTGGAAGGGGCGAATACCGAAACGTCGACCGTAACGGCACTCGATACAGGCAATCTCGATACTCCGGCGTGTTGCGTCCGCGTCTTTGCGCGACGCCCACGCGTCGGGACGGACGAAATAACAATATTAATCATTATGATTATTACGCCGTCGGTACGATGAAATAATGCGATGTTTTCACCGATCGAAAACCGTTCCGTACGAGACAGGCGTATAAAGGCGGTATGACTTTGCGGGCACAAAGTACGGTGTACGAGTACGGTATTATTCTGACAACACCCGTGCGAAAAGTCGTGTCGGCGACGTGAAAGAAAAAATAAAAAAAAAAACCGACACGCTTTTGCGTTTTTTAATACACGGTATACGGATATTCGGTTTATACTGTGGTCTACGTGCGCATCGGAAATCGAATGGGTTATTATTTCAAATTTCAAATTTCCGCGCGGTCGTTTGGAAAAACTACGCGATAATATCATTATCTGTTGTCGGCTTTAGCCGCTGTAAGAGTATCGTAAAAAAAAAATTAATAATAATAATAGTCGAATTATGTTTAATATGATATATTATCGTATGTTGTTTATCGCGTATTCGGTGTGACAGCGCAATATTATCGTAACGACAGTACCGTTTTCGTCGACATAATTCGGGGCCGACGACGAAAACAATAAAATTAATAATAACGCCGCGTAGTATATTCGTGATGCCATATTGTTTTCATTTCCCAGATGAGACACGGGGTGATATCTATATTACACAGCGGCTCCTCCGGCGAGGCGGCGACGATCCCTTCCGAAACGATAATTATTTTATATTACTACAACGCTCTCTTTCCCGATCTCTCGTCATCATCGCCGCGCCGCGGCCGCCCGCCCCGACCGAGGCGGCGGGCGGGAAAGGGACGCCGCCGCCGCCGGGGCGTATTTTTCGGAATCGATGCACTCGCGATTGGTTGGGCGTGAAGCGTTCTGCTTCGGTGCAATGTGACCCGCGCGCGCCAGGCGTCGGCGGCGGTGGCGGTGGCGGCCGTGGAGCGAGGAGATGGCGAGGGGGTGGGCGGGGGCGGGGCGGCAAGCGCGCGCGGAGGGACGACTACGGACGCCGAAAATCAATGAGCCCCCTGACCTGCCGGCGGCGGGACACTGCTCGCGCACAGCTTCCACAGTCCGGGACCAGCGGCCGCCGTACGAGCACGAGCACGACTCCGTCGTCGATTCGCGGGCGCACGCCAGTCCAGTGTTCTCGCGCATAACCCGATGTGCCCTTTTACCGAACATAAACAACACAGGTACCGCACCACGACGTGCCGTTATTATTACAATACGATTTGATTTAATTTAATTTGATAGTGTACAATAATATTAACTGTATAACAATACACAGTGTGCGCCTGACCATAATATATATATATATATATATATATATATTATATACACGCGCGCGCGCGTGTATGATAATTTATAATTTATAAACGTGTGATGCATGCGATTATAACAAATACATACATACTTATATATATATATGTACGTATCCATAAATAATCGTAATATATTTTGCGCGTACGTAGTTTACGGACCGTAGGCACGCGTGTGCCGCAGTGGTACACTGTAACATTATTCAATTATCATTATTATTATTATTACATTATACGTTTCGGTGCATGCGTGTATTTTATATTTTTTGCCACTTGGAGTACCTGTGCCGTGCGCGCAATAATACAACACTTGACACGGCGTCCGCGCCGTGTTCTGTGTAATATTGTGTGGGCATTGTCGCGCGTAATATCTGGGTAGGATATTTATTTGTTTTGTTTGGGTTTTTACAATTTTTCAACCGTCAGTTATCTGTGTAATGATAACGACTGCCGCGAGATACGACACTATTGTATTATCGTGTTTTTCGTTACACGCGTCGTTATTTTCGCAAGGCGTTTTTTTTTTTTTTTTTTTTTTTTTTGATTTTGTCCGCCGAAACGCGTGCGGATTCGGCTCGTCGCCTCGGCGCGGTAGTCCGCGTGCTAGAGGCGTATTATACGCCCGCAGCCTCTGTAGTACGGTCTGTCCGTGAGCTCGCAGCCGCACGTCGCGACGACCACGTCTATCGCGGACACCGTTTGCGCTGCGCCACCGCGTACGCACACGTAAACAACGTAACGATAATAATTACGTACGGCCGCGATTCGGCGATCGTGTTTCGCGCCATAACTGCACCACGCCGCCGCGCGCATATTGTTGTGCGGCACAAGAGTACGCGCGCGCAAGACGCGCGGAAAGAGCAAACGCAATAACGGTAATATTAAATATATTACGTTTTCCGACGGTTTCGGGACGACGAGCGCCGCGGCACGTGACAACGTTATTATAATAAAAGACGACCGTGATGACGATGATGATGATGTCTACGGTAAGGTCGCAGGTACCCTGTACGTTATGTGCGACACTGCCGCGAGACGACTTTGCTGGCGAACATTAAGCGTATTGTTCGGGTTTCGACCGCACCGCACTACGTTACGATTAGCCCGTACACGAAAGAAAAAAAACCGCGATCCGTGCTTTCGTTGATTTGCCGTGCCGACCGAATATAAAATCCACAGTAACCGACGTCGTGTACGACGGGCATACAACAATCATAACCACTGTGTAGGTACATCGCACCTGTTGTACCACGTACGCGTCGGACGTATAACAGTTTAGTTTTGGTTGTTTTTTTTTTTTTTTTTTATCCTATCCCGACCGAAGAACCGCCGCGTATTTTATCGATATTAATCGGCATACCGTGTACCGAGCACGCAAATTATCTACAACCATTATGCAAAGTAGAAGTTCACTCCGGGGCGATGCGCACTGCTCGGAGCAATCCAAAAACGAAATTCGAATCCTCTGATTGCAGGTCCTGCTTTAATTGCTTACGCCACAATGTCCATTATTAGATATCACGATGTCATCGATAACAATACGCATGTTACCGTTAGGCATATTATTTGTTAGGCGTATTTCACTGTCGGCCCAAACCCAATACTGCCCCGAAGAAGTTAGTGCTCTAAGCGAGTAAACCTATACTTTAATCTATAACGGAAACCCACGACGGGCTTAGACAAAGCCGGGGGTAGGGTAAAATATAGAAAGAAATAAACGCAAATAACTTGGTCTATGGCCGTCGGATTCGGACCCGACAAAATTGATTTTAAAGACATTGAGACACTATCGGAACGTGAAGTTTTAATGACAAAGTAATGTCTGGCTAATATCGGATGATTCCATTAGCATCTGAGGCTCGTTTCAAATAGGGAACGCTAATACGCCTCCGGGTTGTCACACATTGATAAAGTTTTAGGGCGCCCCGTGCTCATTATTAATTTGTATAGTTGTTATAAAACTGTTATCAACGAATTATGCATGTTCGTATAAACAATTATATTTTGGCCCCTGAGAGTTAAATGCGAGTGCTCAACACGACTATGTGTATTGTGTATATAATATACACGCATTCGTTTGCGTGGAACACTGGAACCTGCAAACTGTTGTCTCGGTATGCGCGACAAGATATGGATTCCGGAGCTCTCGGAGCTTTTCGGCGTTTTTCGCGATAACGTAGTCGTCGTTGGTGCTATTGAAATACACACTTTCCACACGACATAATTTAGCATAAACATAACCGCGGTCACACGTCCGCGATCCTCTGTGCTCATCTGGATATCGTATAGAGTCTATACTATAGACAGAATAACAATATTACACTGATACTCTTGTTCTGTATTATCATATTTTATACACGTGTCCTAACTAACCGTTTCGTTATCGCCAAGAAACTGTATAGAAACTCGAAATGTTACGTAGATAGATTATTAGATGACCGTCGTTAACGCGAAAAACCCAACATCCCGTTTGTTAAAACTTGATTTACCGCAATAAATTTCAATTTATTATTATACAACTCTTATTAAAAAAAAAAAAAAAATAGCAGGAAAAAATCATAAATGTGGTATCACAGAGGAAGTTTTTTCATATCTCAACGACTCGCGACGTTTAGTTTACTTTATAGTAACGTGTATAAGAATTTTGTCGAAAATTCTACCCCCGGAGAGGCCAAGGGATCATACCCCAATTTTTTAATTTTCGTATTTATAAGACAATATTTACGATTTATTATGATTTCCATTGTGTTGGTTAGATACACGTGGGGTGGGGGGGGCAAAATGTATACACACATATATTTTGTTGTCATCATAATATGCAGTGTATATTATGAAATAAAGCCCGGGTCGTGTGACAGACGTAGTAATCTCTATGTATGTACACAACCGAAACCACGGCGATTTATTCTATTTTCCCGTCAAATAGAATAAGAACGACGGGATAAATAAATAACCGCGGGCAAAGCCGCCAAATAAGTATGGCTATAGTGTATTAAATATAACACGCATCGGCCGGGTCGGTTTAATAATAATAATATGGTGGTGGATGCCGGTTCGAGGGTAAATTGAAAATTCGTTATAATCGCTATATCGAAAATATCTACCATTCCATAAATATATATAGGTATATATTATTCAGTTCGGTTTGTCTATATAATTCACTTTCTTATTTCGTCCTTATTGTTGCCGACGATTGATTAATTTCGGAAACGCCTCCACATCCCCTACCCTTCCAAAATAGAAATTAAGTACAGTATACACGGGATTTCATATGTCAAAGTAAACGGTCTGCTTAC